GGGGAAGGGGAAGACCACGGTCCGGGGGGAAGGGGAAGACCACGGTCCGGGGGGAAGGGGAAGACCACGGTCCGGGGGGAAGCGTAACCCCACGGTCCTGGGTGAAGGTAACCCTACGGTCCTGGGTGAAGGGGAAGACCAGAAGGCAGGAGGAATCTGGGCCGGAGTGTGGATGAAGGCTGCCACTAGGGCTGGCCCCATACCCTGAGCTGTCTGTGGAATGTGCTGTGCATGACACTCTAGTCCACTGACAACGTCATGAGAGTCATTGTCTACACTGTCTGTAAAACACGCTGTTATTTTTGCCCAAGGAAATATTCCTAAGAGTGCTTGTCTGTGCCATCCTACAACAGGCACATGCTGCTGTGAGCATTGACTGTGAACGACCCGAGATCACTGACCACCTCAGGATAACACCTTCCTCACAATGCCCTGTAACAAAGCCTGCTATGGTCTTACCCATCCAAATCAAAACACGCTAGTCAAGAAAGGACTGATCTATGAACAGCTCAGGAGCAACAATTAGCAAACTAAGTGTTGTCTTTCCAATTAAAATTACGACTTAGGTGGTGGGAAAAAGAGAGGGACATTAGTATATTCTAAAAGACAACCAGGGTGACGAAGGTGAGAGAACACAGTGGGCTTTGCTGGTTCCTGACCCAGAGTTTGAACTGACACGGCACGTTTACAATTTAACTCCTCACAGGAGGGGAGCTCCTACCTGTGGCCAGGTACATGATGTGGACGAGCAGGTCCCTGCCCTGCACCACGTCCACGGCGACGTGGGACAAGCGACTGTTGTCCTCCATGAAGGCAGGGACCGCAGACACGGGCTGTACCACCTCATGCATCAGGATGAACTTCTGGGCGTCCTGCAGGTTCCTCTCGGTCAGGTTCACGTACAGACCCTGGTCCACGGTGCCGCACTGCAAGGGGAGAGAGGGTCATGGAACCACCCACCGCGACACCCACTGCCACGTGGCCAGCCCAGCCAGAGGATGACCAGAAACCCAACAATGCACACACATACTGAAGTGTGCACAGGGGTTTGCTTCCCATTGTCCCCAAGTCTCCAACCTGGGAGTCCCTCCCATTTCAGACTTGAACTCATCGTACTTGAAGGGTATCCCGTCATCCTAAAGAGAAATGAACAGAAGTGAAAACATAGAGAGTGGAAGTCATCGCTGTCTTTGATTTGAACAGCACAGGGGCTCCTTGGCTTACTTTAAGTCACTGGGCGCTGTCTGGTGCAGTGCATGCTATTACATGTCTGATAAATCAGGTACCCAAATCGAGAGTGCAGCAATCTAGAACGCTCTATAGATTTACAGTCAAGCAGCGCACAACATCCATTCTGGCAGTACACGACCGCGTAGACGTCTGTGGTCCCAGATAGCTTTGCTAAGTATACACAGGCAGTCCCCGGGTTACGAATGAGATCTGTTCCTAAGTCTGTCTTTAACTCGAGTTTGTAGGTAGGTCGGAACACGTACACGGGGTTCCTATTTACCGTCAGTTAGTCAAACGTTTGTCTTAGTACAGAGTGTATCTTCTACCTTTCTAGGCATATAAAACACTTAGGAAGCACTTCCAAACCACGCATTGTTTACATCGGTGTCACAAAGCAGCGCCTGCGTGTGTTATTACGAACCATTGGATTTAACTCCAATTTTTAATATAATAGGCTTTGCGGCAGCCAGTTCTTCAGGAAGAGTTGTCTGAAGGTTGGGCGTTCGTAACCCAGGGGCTGCCTAAACACGGTGTTCGCACAACGTTCCAATCACACAACGCCCTGTTTCACAGAACGTCTCGTGGATGTTACGTGATGCGTGAATGTATTACTCTTGCTGTTGGAGCAATGGGCTTATTAGCGAAATGTGGATCCCAGGGAGAGAGAAGTTTGCCGTTTGCATCGGCAAAGCATGTAATACCATTGTAACATCACTCACACGGGCTATATAAAAACTATACCGGCCTCTTGGCTTTGTGCTGGGATTCCAAGTTAGATGAACTAGAAAGCATACTGAGAGTCTGCAAGTCTGAGAAAGAGCATGGCAGCTTTGCAGGAAAAGAGGGACAGAGAGGGGGGAGAGGGAGGGAGGGAGAGGAGGAAAAAGAAAAGAGTAGGGAAGATGGAACGGAGAAGGTGGGGAAGGAAGGAGAAGGGGGATTCTCTGACAGGAAATCTGAAGACGGATCTTGGCTACAGGGAAAATCAGGCCTGGAGATTGCTGAGCACGAGATTCAGAGCTGGGCTGTGGCGGGGCTGGCAGGCTTCATGGATGATGATCTCCGACAAGGAGGGCAGAGAGAGGCGGAGGGAAGAAAGTAAAGCTTCCTCACGGCGGAGGACCGAATCACACAACCCCACCAACTTCCCTATTTCTTTTCATAAACTGTAAATCCTGGTACAAATGAGAACTGATGCTCAGCAGAACCTCATCAAAGCAGGAGTGATGTAAATGAGTTTCCCTGCCCACGCCAGCCGAGAGCGCCATTTGTAACGTGTCATCTAACAGTGCTTGGTTTTATAGGTGAGAGGTGGACAAGTGTGAAAATGGAAAGTGCTATTTGAAAGAGGTGATATTTTTGTACCATTTGGGAAAATGCCCTACTTGTTGTAAAATGACGGGCCGGTTGTAGAATTGCGGGATCTCGAGCTAAGTGGATTTTACAGGCTTGCCTGGTGCTCCGTTGAATGTCACATCCAGGGACGTCCCTGTGACTCCTGTGTGGAATCAGGGCAGTGTTCCACCTCAGCTCTGCCACCTGGGAGGCAGGTGGCCCAGGGGAGACACCACCTCTCAGCCTCTGCCTCTTCACCTGGAAAAACGGCTGCACAAATACTCTGCTTCCTTCACAGGCTGAGTGAGACCGCCGAGAAAATGGGGAGAGGCTGGAAATAACGAGAAGAACTCGTGCATGCCAAGGTCAGCAGGAGAGCCCGCCTGGTCCAGAGAAGCCTTCAGCAAAGGCTAATGCATCTGTCTGCAGCAGGACAGCCCGCCTGGTCCACAGAAGGCTTCAGCAAACGGCCAGCGTGTCCGCCTCCGTGCCGTCCAGTGAACAGGGGACGTGGAAATAATGGAATGAAGGGATCAATGAATGAAGACATGAGCAGCTGTTCCGGGGAGGGCCTGTGCTAGGAGGTGTGACATAACTATCTTATTTCACACAGAGGCTTGAGGACAGCAGTATTGCCTGTCCAAATGTCTGAAAAAGTGGCAATTAGCTCTCCTGGACTTGGTCTGGAGTCCCTGGGTGGTACTGAAAGGTTGGAGGTTCAAGACCACCCAGAGGCACCTTGGAAGAAAGGCCTGACAACCTGCTTCTGAAAAATCAGCCACTGAAAACCCTATGGAGCACAGACCTACTCTGACACGGGTGGGGTTGCCATGAGTCAGAGGCGACTCGACAGCATTGGGTTTGGTTTCGGGCGCGCTCTGGGTCTGTCCAGGTGGGTTCTGGCGCTGAGAGTGGCCTTCCTGGTTTATTCCTCCTGAATTCCACGGCACAAGTGACAATTAGCTCTCTGCCTACTGGGGGGTTATGGGTTTTGTTTCCCATAGAAAGTGTTTTTTAAAACTGACACCAGGAAAATCAGGGGAGAGAGCATAAAAGAGAGACCCTGTCACTGCTTGAAGAACACAGAGACGTGGCGGAGCAGGCGATAAATATAAGGAAGAGTTTCCTGTCGTTTTGGTTATTGTTTGTTAATTGTGATTTCCGTGGAGTATCTTAAAAAATTATGAGATGTCCTGCTAAACCACACTTCCTCTCCTCCTCAACCTGAACCCCGCTCTAGTCCCCGATGAATCAGCAGCTGCTAATGCAGAAGTGGGTCCCTGGGTCGTGCAAACGGTTTACACTTGATTACTAACTGGAAAGGTTGGTGGTTCAAACCTGCCCAGTGGCACCATGGAAGAAAGTCCTGGCAATCTGCTTGCATAAAGATTACAGCCAAGGAAACCCTCTGGAACACATCACGTTGCCATGAGTTGGAATTGACTCGATGGCAATGGGTTTAGCTTTTCGTTTTTTAGTGCATAAGTGCAGCATAAATAGCACTTGTAAGCCAGACACACAAGACTAAGGACCGGAAAGCAGCTCTTCCTCCCAGCTGGTTACAGCAAACCTTTGGGGCTTCGTGGCGTTAGACACTCACCAAACTGCATGCTCTGTCCCAGGTCATAAACTCGAGTGGGTGCTCGGGGACACTGGGGTTAGAGAGCCGGGCACTCCTGCCTGAGACGAGGAGGGGTCTGCAGTGGACTACAAATACATCCAGGCAAAGCTGCTGTGGATTCCATTCTGAGTCACGGCGACCTCACGAGACCAGAGTGGAACTGCTCCACAGGGTTTTCGCTGGCTGAATTTTTGGCAGTACATTGCCAGGCCTTTCTTCTGAGGCACCTCTCAGTGGACTTGAACTGCCAACTTATCTGTTAGTAGCCAAGCACTTAACGATTTGCACCATCCAGCGATCCTTTAAAAAATACACTATAAGTATACTAAATATCTATGTTAGCTAAAAAAATTAGTTCTTCAGGGTTTTACAAAGAATCTTTTTAAAGGGAAAGGGAAATCTGACCTCTAGGGTTTTAAAAAGGTTCTCATAAAGGGGTACATTTCACCCTAAAGCCTGGGGCTGTGACCCTAATACTCCCTAGCATGTTTTCTCCTTTTCAAAATGGGCGACTGAGAGCTTGACATAACTAACGCCATGATGAATCTATAAGTTTTTTTTCCTTTGCCTTCCCCTTTCCGCATACCTTTGTTAATGACTTGGTTTTGCTCTGTCCCGCCACCTGTGGCTTACGACCCCCCCACAGGAAGATTAGAGCCCAGATGTCAGATATGTATATCTTTAGCCCGATAAGGAAATGTCTGGCATGTATCTCTTTAGTACGATACACAGTCTCTCGTAATTACCTTGTAATAAATAATGACCCTTCTGACCTTTGTAAAGATCATATATAAGCTCTAATGTAAAAATGCCTGTCGGGACTCCACAGAGATAGCCTGTGTTGCTGTCAGATCTCTGTTGGTGGACATCTCCTAAATAAGGCTTTCTCACTCTTTCTGACTTGGAGTACGTTTTGTTGGCTCGACTGCTCCGGGGCATGGACTCTATTCGGGTTACAGGACCAAGGTGGGGTTTTGATGCAGAGATGCAGTAAGTGGACTCTTTATTCAGTTAATAACAACACAAATTGTTGGCCATCAAGCCAGCTCTGACTTCCCTGCTTATTTCCCACCCAGCTGTCAGCCCGCCTGGCCCTCAGTATGAATCTTTCTCCAGCACTAAGCTTTCTTAGCAGGAAGGTGACGATGACAAGTATAAACCTCCTTACGCATGCTCCGAGCTCAGAGCTCACGAAGTGTGGATGGATGATGACGCTTCCTCTGAGGGGTTGCCCCAAGGAGAAAAGGAGACAATGTACATAAAGCACCTACGGACACCCTGGAGGCACCCCATCAATGCTCTGGAGAGCCGTCTTCCACAAATACCTTACACAGTAAGCAAAGTGCCTTACTACCAAAACCTAACACATCCCACTGTACTCCCTCCCCCATTCTGCGGATGACAGGGAGACACTAGCTATTTCACGCAGGGACGGCAGTCCATGATATAGATGACGTGTAAACCAGCCAACTTGTTCCCAATCCTGTACTCTTGCAAAAATTACAGTAAGTAAATAAACAACTCCCCCAAAGCAATCAGAATTTAACAGTCCCTGGAGTCCCAGGGTGTAAACAGTTAATGCAGTCAGCTGCTAAACGAAAGGTTGGTGGATCGAGTCCAGCCAGAGGCTCCTTGGAAGACAGGTCTGGTTATCTACTTGCAGAAAACCAGCCATTGAAAACCCTGTGGAGCGCAGTTCTACTCTGACACACATGGGGTCGCCGTGAGTTGGGGCTGACTCAACAGCGACGGGTCTGTTTTGTCTAGTTAAAGTGTAAAATAATTTAACACTCTCCATCCCAGTTTCTCAGAAGTGTGGGGTTTTCTGCGTTGTGGCAGTGACCAGTATTTGAAACCTGGGTACAGGTCCCAGTTCCACCACTGACTAGTTATGGGATCATGCAGATTAACAGTCATTTATTGGGAAAGGAGGGGGCTTTGTTCGGAGGCCCTGGGCTGGAAGCCCAGCTCAGCCACTTGGCCACTACGTTGGCCCTGAGGCTTCGTCCTTCTCTTCAGGTGGAGACCCCTGGCCCACCCCAGAGCTGCTGCCAGCGTGACGGACACCACAGGAAGCATCTCACGTGTGTCTGGAACTCTGTGGTGCTAAAAAACTATGCCCACGAGATAACAATTACGTGAACTTTCTCACAGAAAGTGGACCTCAAGACAAGCCTGCTGATCCAGCCCTCGTGAGGAAACCTTGTCATCTTTGTGGGTTCCAGCTCCTTCCGGACATGGCAGCTGGGAACAGATGCTTACAAAGCCCCCAGAGGCGGAACACCCTGAATTCTGTGATTTATGGATGAATGCCATCCACCCACCCATCGTCCCCCCACCGACTGCCCCATCACGCCCCGTCACCCAACAGGAAATCACGCCACAGCAGGCCATCAGTGCTCTAATTCCCATTGTGCGTCTCTGCCGCTCTGCACCGGGCCCCATTCACGGTCCCCACTCATTAGGGATCACAGAGTCCACCATCCTTAGCACTAATTGCAGCCGGGGTCGCAAAGCCGCTGAGAACGCTGCCCTTTTCCAGGCCGGTCTCCAGCATCCCAGTAGACAAAGGCATCCTGTCTGCCCAGGCGTCCCCGAGGACAAAAGGCCAGCTCTATTTACATCAGCAGGGCTGCGTGTGGGCACCCGGGCCCGAGGGGGCAGGGCCACGCTGTGCTGGGTGCACCGGGATCTGAGTGTGGGGTCCCGGGCCCGAGGGGGCAGGGCCACACTGTGCTGGGTGCACCGGGATCTGAGTGTGGGCACCCGGGCCCGAGGGGGCAGGGCCACGCTGTGCTGGGTGCACCAGGATCTGAGTGTGGGAACCTGGGCCCGAGGGGGCAGGGCCACGCTGTCCTGGGTGCACCGGGATCTGAGTGTGGGGACCCGGGCCCGAGGGGGCAGGGCCACGCTGTCCTGGGTGCACCGGGATCTGAGTGTGGGGTCCCGGGCTCAAGGGGGGCAGGGCCACGCTGTGCTGGGTGCACTGGGATCTGAGTGTGGGCACCCGGGCCCGAGGGGGCAGGGCCACACTGTGCTGGGTGCACTGGGATCTGAGTGTGGGCAC